CTGCTTTGTTTCCCCAATGTATAACTGGTCGCAGTCCTCCTGGCACTTAACAGCATATACAACATTGCTCTGTTCGTGCCGGGGCACCGGATCTTTGGGGTGAACCAGCCTTTTGCCGTAATGTGTTTTGGGGTTTGAAAGCCACTGGGACATCATGTTTAGAAAATAAACTAAGTTGATAATTCCAAGTACTATTTATTGTACTTATAAGCCAAAGGAAATGCCATAGTGATATAACATGCTTACCAATGTTTGTGGCTCCAGCATCAATGCTGTTCTCCACCAGCTCTTTAACAGCTGTAGCCAAAGTCAGAACCACTTGTCCTGAGCAGATTTGATGCACTGAGTGTTTATCAATGGCTCTGATGGCTCRAGCCGGGGCAGATGTGCTGAGGAAAATATGCAAATGCTCAGTGAAACTTTATCTTCAGCAGAAGTTTCATTCTTGTTTAAAGTTTGATATGCAATGGATTGTCATCTAATTGTAAACGAATAGTCATTTTATACACTTTAAGCTTACAAAATTTGGCTGACAAATTCAGACGTGACGAGTCTTTATGTTGAATGTTCCACATTTTCGCGTGGAAATCACAACGAAATAATATATTTATGAGGACAAGTTGAATACAAGATGTGGCGGATATCTTACCAAATGTCGGACATCTTCCAAGGATGTCAAGTGGATACACGCTGACGGCTTCCACATAACACAAATCTGGCCAGTTTGTTTACTGCCTGACTCCCGCTTCGCAGCATTCTTCGCGCGCATTACAACTGCGCAAAACTTGCGCAGCTGATGTGCAACTTATTACATGTAAACGGTTACCTTAAAAGATAAAAAACCACACCAAAATTACAATAAATATCACATTTGATAATCAAATATGATAAACAAGCGTTAACACATGACTTAACAAAAAAGTGTTACTGAAAATCTGGTCAAAGTTTCATCACCGGAAATAGTGCTTTAGTTAGGGACTATCTGCAATTTTTTATACTGTATAAAACGATGATAAGGCTACGAATCTTTTTAATGTGGCAAAGCTTTTAATGTACATCTATACTATTGAAACACCGCTTTAATATTTAATTTGTAGTTTTTTAAGATGTGCGTTTTAACACATTAGTTTTCTTTTAATTGTAGCCCACATATTTTACGACGGTCCCTTGTACCCGGCTGCTCTTAAATCATGGCGGACCGTCGGCTCCGGGGGGGTCTTTAAATAACTCGTGTTTCGTCAGGGTTTTATTTAAATGCTAAAATTAAAAGTTTTTGCGAGTAGACAGACGCCATTTACAGCAGACGTAGGATAGCAGTTCTAAATTTTATCAAGTTTTAAAACATTTTATTTTATTTTATTTTTATTAAGTTATGTACAGCTCGACGCCGGAGCGCGGTGTCATGTATTCAGAGGAATGTTCTAGCAGCAGCAACATGTTGGTCCACCGAAACCTTACAGCTGTCAGGAGGCAGGAAGAGCTGGAGAGTAGCCTCCTTAGCTTTGCAAGCGAAGAGGACGAAGACGTTCATTTCGACAGTAAGCAGCTTTGTTTTGTATTAATCCAAGTTTGAGTTTAATGTTCGTCGACATTTTGATATATTTAGGCACGCTGTTGTAAAATTACCGAAAGGTTAGGTAAGGCAATGTTTCAAGATCTCGCGAGACTAACGTGCAGCTAAACGAGATTATAAAAAAGTATTGAAAATATGCACACTCTTTACATCTGCTTTCGCAGTTGGTTTATCCACTTCATTTGTGACAAATAACCTTTGTGATAATTAAAATACTTTAATTTTGCATAATTAAACTTTTAAACTACTCACAAAACTGTTTCAGTAAGGGTAAAAGAGTAATGTTTCAGGGTGCTTTATTAAACTAGATAATAAAGTGGTAATTATGTTTATCTCGATGTTGATTTTGCATTTCAAACTGTTTTTAAATATACACAATTTCTTATTTATTCAAACAAAACCATGTAACTAGATGAGACTGATGCATGAATAAAGAAATTACCTGATTTAATGTAAAGAAAAAAAAAAGCATTACATTGGCCATCACGTCCCAGTTGATGAAGAATTAGAAACTCAGAGGAAAAAAAAACAGTGCTGTTTTCAATTATTGTCACTCCTTACTTTTTAGCAAAATCTTTTATTATTAGCTTAATGTCTCTTTGTTATTAATATCACATGTTTTCTGGTATTTTTTTGTCAGCTGTGTGATTTTTGCGGTTGTCTCATTTAAAGATGTTTGTTGTTTAGCATAAATTTAAATAAGTAGTTAAAGGTCAGGAAAACAATAACATCTTCAAATTTAGATTGTACTTTTTCCTACTGTTAGACGTCTGACTGTAAGAAACAAATGAACAGAAAACTTGGTACTTTGTATAAATCCTATTAAATTGCTGTATTTTATCTCATACATGTGATAAAGGTTATGTTTTACTTCATCTTGTCTCTTGTATGTTTGTCATGTTTCTACACATTTTTAAGATCTTTTTTGCCAAACGTGTTGACAAAATTCATAATGACAAGATAATGTTGTTAATCTGTTGAACCATACAAGTGTGCTTCATATTCTGTCAAAACATTTCCCTCTAAACATCCTGAAATGCGAYGAGACAAAACAAGAATTAAAAACACAAGGACATTAGTGAGCTGCCTGTTCTCAGCTCTCGTGTGTAAGGTGGAAAGGAGGGGGCTGGTCTCCACTGGACACAGCAGATAAGAGCTGCTTCTGTGCCCCCTCCCTCATGTGCAAACAAGATGAGCTTATTTCATGTACTGCAGCTGAAGGGTGTAATTGTTAGTCTAATTTGAACTGAGTTGTGTTGCATCAAAAGGGTGTTTATATAGAAATATGGACTCGGGAGAAAGAAGCCTTGTTGAAATGATAGCAAAGGTTATTGAAGAAGGTAAGCTGTTAGATATTAAATATGCTGGATTTGTGCTACATTTGTTTTAAACTCAAAGCTGTTTTTTTTCCCCTTTTTTTGTATCTTCAGCTTCTGATACAGAAAATAACAGAGAGGTGCTGATGGCCGGCAGGCATTACCCTTCCATCCAAGAGTTTGCCTCAGCAATCCCCAACCACCTTCTCCTCGGCTCGCTGCTCGAGCACCTGTGTTGTGTTTACGAGAGCAATCCTGCGCGCTCACGTGTGCTCTTTAAAGGTACATGACAAAGGACACTTCATTAGATCGTCATAAATGCACCACGTCTTGTAATGTGAAGCTGTATTTATTATTTTCTCCTCTCCTGGCAGCAATAGGCCAYCGTTTAGCGGCCATGAATCTTCTCTCACCTTTGGCCATAAGTGATGAATTTAGCACCGTCAGACTCCAGCACAACCGGGCCTTCACTGAGCTGCTTAATGCTGCAAGCTCCTCGCTCTGTCCACAGGTCACACATCTCATTGCAGTACTCACTCGCTTTCATGAATTAGCTGAWCCAACTCCTTTTGTATTATTTATTTGTACTTGGATTTATTCATTTGTTTGCAGGGTCCTGGTGCAAACACYCACAATCCTGCTTTAAGGTAAAGCGTTTGTTGAGTTTTTAACGTTGTGTTGCTTTTGTAACATTTTAAGTAGACTAAGAAGCTGTTGTGTCCCCGCAGACCCAAGGAGGGACTGTTTCAAACACAAACATCACGGTATCTTAGTGAATTTGAAGAAATATCCAGACTTGGGAAAGGATCATACGGGAATGTTTTTAAGGTTTGTTTTTTTTTTACTAACAATTCTTAATTCTTTTAAAAATGTCCCCAATTGAGTTAGTCATTATAATTGGGATTTATTTGGTAATTCTGCAGGTTTTAAACAAACTAGATGGACAGTGTTACGCGGTGAAGAAAATTTTAATCAAACAAGTCTCAAAGGAAGACTGCATGAAGGTGAACTTACAGGTGTTTTTAATGCTTTTAATACAAAAAAAACATTCAGGACTCACTGGAACTGATTTTGTTATTTTTGTGTACTCTAGGTTCTTAGGGAAGTCAAAGTGTTATCCAGCTTGCAGCATGTAAATATAGTAGGTTATCACACTGCCTGGTTGGAACATGTTCAGCCAATGACATGTAAGTACGTCACTATTATCCATCTATAAGTTGGCTTGACAAAAAATAAATATTTWTTTATTTTTTTATTACAGCTCCTGGGTCCAGTCTTCCAGCTCTTGAATCTCCTGGACAAGACGGGTAGGATTCAAGTAATTTATGATAATTTTACCAACTTCTTTTACTGAATTAGCCTTTGCCTGCTCTGCAGCAATGCATTTGTCTCTGTTCTTTCCTTCACAGTTTGMGTGACAGCCCTGACAACAGTAGCACCAGCTCATCCATAGTCTTTCAAAGCCAAAGTCACGCAGAGACAGATGCTGCTTTAAGTGTCAAAGGACCTGCATCAGAGACTCATCCTATGAGAGCCATAGTTTCAACCAACGAGGGACAAGTCGTGTGTCCCAGGACTATGCGTCGGATCCCAGACAACTATGTCCCCTGTGTGTTCCTGGGACAGCAAGGGCCCAGAAATGGCCCCAAATGTCCCTCCATGGGCTGGGACACTTCAGCGCTGTTAGACGAGGGGTCGAGCAGGAACAGCATTGAACTGAACAACAACTCCTACATCGACAASAAGTGTCAGCAGTGGGCTGACAAACAGACCAGAAGGCCCTCCAAAGAGGTACGTCCTAAAGATATCACAAAACAATATTAATTTAAAAAGTCCATGTTTTATACAACCCCACTATCCATTAGGTTTAGACACTGTGTAAAATATAAATAAAAACAGAATATGATGATTTGCTAATCCTTTTCAGCCTACCATATTTTTCGGACTATAAGCCGCACCCGCCTTTTAAAAAAAAACGCGTGAGCATCAACATATAAGCCGCACCAGACTATAAGCCGCACC